AGGAAGGAAGGAAGGAGGGAGGGAGGGAAGGAAGGAAGGAAGGAGGGAAGGAAGGAGGGAGGGAAGGAGGGAGGGAAGGAGGGAGGGAGGGAAGGAAGGAAGGAAGGAAGGAAGGAAGGAAGGGGGGATTTTGTGGGTTCTTTTCCTTGCTGGCGCAGTCAGAGGCCTGAAATTCAGAAACGTCATCCAGGCGTTGCTTTGGCGCTGGCTCTTGGTGGAGTTGTGGCAGGCACGGGCGCCCTCTCGCTTGCCAGCCTGAGGACGGACTACTTCCTCCCTCCACCTCAGAAGCCCCTTCTCCCTTCTCCTTGGCCCGCCCGGCCGGCAACCTTCAGCCTTCCTTCCAGAATCCCCGCCCTCCAGCCCTGCACTCCCGCCTGCCTCGTGTTTCTCCTTCTCCCTTGTCTCCCATGTCCGAGAGGACTCTGCCTTAATCCTGCCAGCTGTGTCTAGTGGGCTTTTTCCAGGCCCTTTGTTGGTTCCCAGTTGTTTTCTCTGATCGTCCACTCTGACCTGAGAAGGTCAGTTCCCGTGTCTGTTAACAGCTCTTTCGATTAGAGGCGCTCTGGTCTGCCTCCTCCGACTGCCACGTCTTCTGTGGTGCTTTCCCCTAGCCGGCCTGTAACTCGGGGTGTTCTGATCCTGCTCACAGTTGGGATGGGAAGGAGCCATCTGGACTTGACTGGTCCTGTCCCCTATTCCAAGCCCCAAGGACGGAGCAAGGGTCCTCATCCTGTACCCAGGGTCTGGGGACCTCTGTCAGGCCGTGAGGGGCAGCGCTGCCCGCCTTCCCGGCCCAGCTCCCAGGGGTTGTGCTCCCCTAGCAGGTAAAAGGGCTGCTTAGATATCCTTTGCTCCCTGCAGAATTTACCCGATGGTTAGTGAGGTATGCTAAACCGCCTCCGTATTCTGTCACTTCTTTCTTGGGATTCTGGCAAGTGCCATTTGTCCTCTTTAGGGGCCAGCTAGTTCTGTCTGCTCCCGAGGACCCTCAGAGCCCCTGGTCAGCAGCTCTGAGGAGGGCCTCCCAGTCTCTGTAGCCTTTGGTCCCTGCGGCGGTGTCTGGGGTTCAGGCACAGCCATGTGGCCGTCTTCCTGAGACCCCCACCTCTGACAAGCCCAGGCCAGAATGCAGGGCCCAGTGTTTCCAGCAGGCTGGGGCTGGGGACGTGGCCACACTGCAGCCAGGCCAGTGGCCAGCAGGGCAGGCCTGGCCCTGGGCCCCCCACAGCCCCCCACAGCCCCAGGGTGATCCAGAGCAAGCTCTGCCCTCCATGGAGCTTCTTTCACTTTCGAGGTCTGCTTCCCTGTTGCACATCAGCCAGCGTGCTTGTCAAGAGAAAGTTAATTAAAAACATATTTTTCTAATTAAATGGTAGGCTGCGCTGTGCGAACAGTGCGACTCTTGTTTAGAGCTCCCTGTTGCCAGGGCGACCAGGGACCCAGCAGAGCAACAGTGCACAGCCAGCCACCCAGGGACACGCGCCCAGCACGGCCCGGCCGCACGCAGCTGGCGGGGATCTGCGCAGGGCGGGCCCGGTGCCCACCCAGCTGTGCCCCACGCCCTCTGTGTCCCCAAGAGGCTGCCCATGTGCCCGCAGATGGGTGTGTGTCACAGCCCAGCAGCTCAGAGGGGCTCTGTATCCCTGGACTCCGCCAGCCCCTGCCCTGCGCTGCACCAGCATACCCAGCCCCACGGGCTCTGCCATCCGGCTGCCAGCCTGTCCCTCACCCAGAGTCCAGAGGCTAAGCCACAGTGCGTCACCTGGCTTGGGGACACACACGCCTGGGGCCTGTGCTGGGGCCTCAGCGGGTGTCGATTCCGCCTGTTTAGTTGAGAATGTTTACTTCCCCTAATTCCTTCATGTGCCATAGTTCTCAGATTTCTAGATGCTAAGAATATTTCAGGTTGGGAAATGAATCCATAAGCGCGCCTCTCTGTCTGTCACCGGGATAGTTCCAGTACTACAGGAATTGACTCTTCATGATGCACGGAACTGTGCATAAACTCCGCGGAGCTCCTGTCGTCCTCAACAGCACTGGGCTCCCTCTCTGTCCCTCCTCTGCTTGGGTCTTGCGGGAGGAGGTTGCCGTTTGCATGTGCAAGTGCATTGTCGCGGACGTCCCACACCTGCTTCACACTGTGGGCTGGAGGTCGTCTGCAGCTGCCCTGTCCTCCCTGCCCCCCATCGCCCTCACGTCTGTCCTTGACCGACGGCGTCTGTCCCCTCCCTCTGACATGCTCACCGTCTCGTGTTTTTGTCTAGTTTACTCATTCCGGCTGCTAAATCTATAACTTTCTCTTTCTGTTGTCTTTTTTCTAATTTCTTAATGGAATAAGAGACTCATTCGTGTTTCATCTTTCTCTTTCAGTCCTAAGAACATTTAATGTTATCAAATTTTCCCTGACTGCGGTTAGATGTGTGTAGCGTAGGTTTTTAATATGAAGTCTTTTCCTTTCTACCAGGTTTCTGGGAAGTTCTGTCCTCACCTCTTCCTCAACCCGAGGGTAGCCAAAGAGAACATCACTCTGCCTCTCTGCTCCCGCCAGGCACTGGGAGCAGTTTCCCTCCAATGCTCTTAAGCGGCTACCCGGGGCATCTCAGTGGGCTGCCTGCTGACCACTGTTTTGGTTTGGTTTTGTCCATTTCTCTGTGGTGTGTTTAGAGGGAAGCTGGCCAGGTTGATTGCAGTGCATGGGGAAGAAGAGATGTTAGTGACCTGGCAGGAGAATGTAAGAAAGAACAGTAAAGCTGGCTACAGCACACAGTGGACACCAGAGTCCAGAGGTGGCCTGTCTGCCGTAAACCAGTTCCAGACCCAGGGCTCCCACTGGGTAAACTGAGGCTTAACTCTGCATCTGAGGGCTTTCTAGACCCAGTTTTGTTCTGTGGTGTCCAGGCAGGAGCAGGTTTTCACCCACCATGGGACTTGTCACCGGTGGATATAAAGGCACTGCACTGAGGACCAGGGGAGGGATTCAGGCCGTGGATGGCCTGCTCTGTCCTTCCTCGTGCAGCCAAGGGACATTGAAGGAGGCCTCTGTCCCCACTGTGCTTGAGGCCAGCCTGGCCTCCACCAGGGCAGGGTCCATGGAAGACTCTTCCTCATTTTCACGGCCTCCAGGATGTCTTAGGGCCCCCAGCTCCCCTGCTGTCCTCCCATCCTTCTCAGTCCTCACAAGAGCCCTGAGGCTGCAGCACGCCCATGGCACTGACAGGGAGACCGAGGCCAGAAGGCTCTGGCCCACGCCTCGCTCCTCCCCTCTGGCTCCCAGAGGGAGCCCTGGTGGCCCTAGGTGCTGGCCTTCAGTTTGGGGCAAGGCTGGGCCTCCCTCTCCTGCAGCTGCTTAAGCCTTCAGGCCAGGGCAGACGCGGAGCTGCGCTGCCCACCAGCCTCACTCAGGGTCAGGCTCGGGGAGCCAAAGGACAGACACAGAGCCACCCACTCAGTGGGGCCGAGGGTGCCCCGCTCAGCTACGATGGTTAATTTGAATTCCGTAAATTCTCGTCATTACAGAGGAGCATGATGCTTCGTGTAATTGGTTTGGGGCCTCTTAAAACTACCATGAAATATTTAAGCCATATTTGAAGGAAACATCTGCGTTTCTACTGGAAAAGGTACAGCAATAGAAAACTGTAATTTTCAAACATGCACGGAAGAGTGAAACATGGAAATCTTAGGTCCTCCTTTTTCTTGCTGCAAGTAATAACATGTCAGGTACTTCGGAGAGTGTTTGGGGGCCCACCCAGGCCTCCCCTCCCCCAGCCCCATGCTAGAGGCCCTGTCACCCCTGCCTGCCCCCGTCCTCCTCAGCAGCCAAGAGCAGCAGCTCTGGCAGTTGGTGACCGTCGGGCAGGGAGCTGGGAGGCCTCCAGGGCCCTGTCCCTGCACCTGCCTCCCCGCCCATCCCAGCCCAGCTGTCCCGCCCACCCTGTGCCCACCCTGGCTCCCATCCCCACACCCTCTGCCCACTGCAGAGGTCACTGCCCTCCTCCAGGCCCTTCAGGCCCGTGTCCCCTGCGCCTTGGGGACTGAGCATTCTCCCAGGGTTATGCACCCTCCGTGCTCTGGGCTACCGGCTCCTCTTCCTCCTTAGTCCTCCCTGTGGCCGGCCTGGGTCTCTCCTGGGGCAGCCATTCCCTCCTGGCCCGCAGTGCCTAGGCCTCAGGTCTGAGCTCTGCCACACCTGTGCCAGCCACCTCCCCGTCTCTGTGGATACCCCAGACCTGCCGCAGTGTGCACCAGACGTCCCAGTGCCCGAGCCGCTGGGATCAGCGGTGTCCAGGCCACTGTAGGGTAGGGAGGGGCACATGGGGCCAGGAGGACACGAAGGCAGAGAGGAGAGCAGGTGAGGCTGAGCCCCACTGCCCCGTACGCCCGGAGAGCCTGTGGGGGCTTCAGTCCAAGGACAGTGGGCCCTGAGGGCTGAGAGCAGGGTGTATGTGCCACGCATCTCCTCAGACGGCTCTGGAGACCCTGTGGCCCACCCTCTGCCCACACCAGGCCTCCTGTCAGGCCTCCTGACGCTGACGCCCAGCTCCCGCTCCCGGAGTCCACACACTGCCACAGCACACGAGGGGCACAAGCTGGATTCTTCTGTACTGGGGGCTGGACCCCAGCCCTTCACCATGAGCTGTGCCCGCAGCCCTTTCTCTGTTCAACTGTGAGACAGGGTCTCGATAAGTTGCGCAGGCTGGGCTCAAACTTTCCATCCTCCTGCCCCCCGCCTCCCAGAGCCCGGGGATTACAGACGTGTGCTAGCACACCTGGCTGTGCCGACCAGCTCATCGGTGCGGCGAGCCTGTCCTTGACGGCATACTTGCTTGTCCACCTCCCAGCCGTTCCACCCACAGCAGTCCAGGTCTGGGTGGATGGCCCGTGTCCACCACCTGTATCTCCAGGCAGCCCTGTGTCCCCTCCCCCAGGAGCAACTGGCTGTGCTGCACCAAGCCCTTGAGGGGCGTAGGAGGCACAGCCTGGGCCTAGTGGGGAAGCACCAAGGCCACCGGGCAGAAGTGAGGGCAGGGCTGGGACGCGCAGTGAGGCCGCACACGGGGAGGGAGGCCTGGGCAGGTGTGGAGACATGCACACAGACCCGACCTGCCCGGCATCCAGTTTCCAGCTGGCAGCGGGGAAACTGAGGCTGGGGGCGTCCAGGGAAGCCCAGGGCTGGTTTCTTGCCCCACAGTAAGCACCCTCATGACAAAGGGGTCCCCTGGGATGCACACTGTAGAGGAGAAATGTGTTTTGCCCAGACCCTGCCCCTACAGACACCACAGCCTCTCCTGCGGGGGCACAAGGTCCCTCCAGCCCCCACCCTGTGTTCCCTTCTGGGTGCTTGGGTCCCTGGCTTCCGAGATCTCCCAGCCCCTCCAGCGGACATGGCCCCAGAGCAGGTCCAGGACTCCAGAGGAGGCAGGCAGAGGGCGGCATACAGCCGGCAATGGTACAGGCAGGAAGGACGTGTGGCTGGACCCTGGCAGCCAGCACCTGACCCGAGGAGCCCTGTGTCCCTCTGCAAAACAGGGAAGTGGCAGTGCCAGAGCGGGGGGTGCAAGGGGCCTGCAGGGCCCAGAGCAGGGCGCTTTCCCACGGCCTCCCACTGCCACAACTCTGCCCGCCCTGGGGATGGAGGCCAGCTGACCAAGACAGTCATGAAAGCCACCGGCCAGCTGTCCCCAAAGGCCACCTGTCTTCCCACGAAGGAGAAGCAGCCAGCAGGGCCCCAAGACCAGGTTCCTGCCGCTGTCCTGAGGTGCAGGCCCAGCCCTGGACAGGGGCAGAAGGGCTGTATGTCCATCCCAGCTTTGATGTCACTGCCCGGGCAGCAGAGCCAGCTGTGGGCACTGTGCCCAACCCGGGTCCCTGGGGCCCCTGGGGGAGGGCGGGAACAGCTAATGAGTTCCAGGAGGTCAGCTGTGCGGGGCCCACAGCCCATAAACCCTTTATTGGTGTCTCAGGAGGGGAAACCCGGATGTGGCCATTTATTTATTTTGGATTTCACTTTTCTCTTCTCTTTATAACATGCGCTTGCAGGACTGTAACTGGATTTTTAAAGAAACAGGCTCCTTTTCCAGTGGAAGGGAACTCTTTGTTTTTCTGGTCTTGGAGAAAGCAGTCCTTAGTTTTGTAAAACTTGGTCCACTGACCCTGTAACTTTGCCTGTACAAACCCACCACGTCCCGGGCCCAGGCATAGGCAGGACAGCAGATCCGCCCAGCCCTGAGGGAGGACTTCAGGCCGCTGCTGCCCCTGCCCCGAGAACATTCCTGGCCACAGCAGGCGGAAGCCAGGGCGGGCACTGGACCGCAGTGAGCAGGACTTGGTGCCAGGCCTGGCTTGGTGCCTGCCTGGACCTGGTGAGCTTGTGAGGTGGCCCAGCAGGATACCCAGGTTCCCAGGGCTGCCGGCAGGGCTCCTCTTCTGGGCCATCTCCACACAAGGGAGAGAATCCGGGATCCAGGGGTGTCCTCCCGAGGGTGTGGCACAGGGCCACGGAGCCTCCACTTGCACTTAGGGAGTGGTTGCTTCCTGGCATTGAGCCCACCGCCTGTGGCTAAGGAGGGCACTGCCAGGGCAGCTTCAGACCCCGAGGAGGGTGATGCCACTGCGGCAGACTCACTGGGACAGGGTCGGCATGTGCACTGGGGCTGGGCATGCATGCCTCAGTAGGAGCACTTTGCTGAAGGCCAGGGAGCTTCAGGAGCTGAGGCTTCCTGTGCCACCCACCTGGAGAGAGAGGTCCCTGCGAGGGTCTCTGTGAGCTCCTGGCCCTGCTCTCCTGAGCGCCCACTCTGACTGCAGACTTGGAACCCCAGCAGGCAGCACCCTTGCCAACCCCACCAGCTCCAGGGCCTCAAAGCTCTGAGTGCCCTTCCCACGGCACTCGGGCTCCCCAAGAGCAGGCTGGCCAGACCTTGGATCCCTGCCCAGAGGCCACTGCAGCCCCCCACAAGTCCTCCCCTGCTCTGCAGATGGAGCAGGAAGTGCCAGCCACTGAGAAGGGGCAGCTGGGCCAGTCCCTGAGTAGCCTGCACCAGGAGGTGGATGGGGCCCTGCGGCAGAACCAGCGGCTGCAGGTGAGCTGGCCCAGTGCACCGAGCTCTGCAGCCTTGGTGGGGAGCAGGGTGGGCTCCAGCAGGCTTGAGTCCGTGGGAAGGGTACAGCTGTGGGGGCCCCATGGGGTCACACCTGGGTTTTCCCCAGGGCCCCTGCCCTCCTGAAACACTGAAGTCTCCATGGCTGTGTGAGGCCTGTAGGGGCCCCTGTGAGACAGGCCTGACTTGGCAGAAGGGGGAACAGGCAAGCCCGTGGGGCACACAGACTGAGGGGTCCCCCAGGCCAGGGCTGACACCACAGGTGGGGCTCAGAGGCCTCAGTCTCCCCTTCTGTCACCAAACTCATCCAGACAAGAACCTGGGGGAGTGGTGAGCAAGTGCTCCCTTCAAGGCTCTCAGGACCCCAGCAGGGCCAGCAGGAAAGTGGGTGCCCCTGAACAGACTCCACGCCCCAAGGCCGTGGCTTGGGTCTGGCCTGTGGCAGTGTGTGCCGAGCGCATCTCTGCTGCCTGTCACGGGCCAGGCCAGGGTCCAGCAGGGTCCAACCGGGAAGGGAACAGTGCCCCCAGACAGGGAGGACCCTGGGCAGCCTCCACTGCAGAGGCAACGAGAGGCCCATGCGCTTGCTGCAGGCCCAGCTGCAGGCCACACGGGCCCTGGCGTCCCGAGAGCAGATCCACCAGCGGTGGATGAAGGGGCTGGAGCAGCAGGTAGGTCCGGGCCAAGCCAGGGGACCACATGTTGGGCACCCTGTCCTGCTGCCCTTTCAGGGCTGCGTCTGTCCCACACCCAGGAGGGAGGTGGGGATGGCTTCCAGGGCAGCTCATCACCTCTCTGGGCACTGCCCCGTCCATAGAGTGGGGTGGCCAGAGGGGCTGTGTGAAGGGTGGGAGCTGGGAACCCACAGTGGACCCTCGGTCCTTCAGGGTGAGGGTGCACACAGGGCCTCCGCATGAGTGTGCGTGGCATCACACACGTGCACACACAGCACACCTGCCAGGCTGAGCCGTAGGCCTCAGAGCTGCCAGACCTCAGAGCCCTGTGTTCAGAACCCTGCTTTACAGACAAGGAAACGGAGGCCCAGAGACTGCCCAGGGTCAGCCTGTCACCGTCCCGGGGCCTCCAGCCATGTTTTACTTCCCTGTCGCTGAGTGTCTCAGGGTCTACATGGACCACTGTGGGTGGGCAGTGGCCTCTGTCCCCAGGATGCCATAGGTGGCAGTCATGGTGAGGGGCCCCTGCATCCCCTCTGGCTGCTGCTGAGCCCATCCTGGCATTTCTCTCCACGAAAGCCTCCTGCCAGCCCTCCCGGTACACAGCCCTCCACACCATGCGCGGGGCCTGGCCGAACACCACCCGCCCCGCCTGACAGGCTCCCTGCCATCCCCAGGTGGCCAGCCTGAAGGAGCAGCTGGACCAGGAAGTGCGGCAACGGCCACATGGCCACCTCCACCAGGCCTCCCGGGCCAGGCAGTGAGCCCACTGCAGACACTGCACAGCTCGGCTGCCTGCAGCCCTGAGCAGCCGGACACGGGCTCCTCCGGGCAGGGGACCCAGGCGGCCGAGGACCTGGGCTGAGAAAGCTCAGCGGTGCTGCAGAGGGGGCAGTGCAGGAGGGACACAGGCACCTGGCCAGAGCTGCCTACCCACTCCCTGGGGCACTCTGGCCCCACCGGGGCTCTGCCGCTGGCTGGGCTGGCCCGGCTGCCGGTCACTCCTCTCCAGCACCCTTCCTGCCACAGGGAGCAGGCTGTGGATGCCTCCTCAGCCCGCCCTTGGCGTGGCGCTCATTTCCGCTTCGGACCTGCCGTTCTTGCCAGGACCTGGTGGCCGGGTCTTGCCAGGCAGGCTTCCTTGGCCACAGGCTGCATTCCCAGCCTCGCTCTGTAAACACCGGGAAGCACGTGGGAAACATTTCCACCAACACGAGCCAAAAACACAATGTCCCGCAAGGCCAGCCGCCACATCCCACGTCCAGAGGCTGTGGAACCTCCTGAGTCCAGGAACTGCCTCCTGTCACGGTGGCAGGTGGCTGGAAATGACTCAGATTCGAGTCCCTGTGACTCACTGGCCACAAGAGGTACTAAAGTGTGAAATCTGAAGTTGTTCCAGAGGTTCCTGCATCCCCAGTGGGGAGACACTGGGAAAATTCCTGTGAGTTGCCACAGGGGTCTGTTACAGCCACCTGCTGGCCTCTTCCCTGGTCTCCCCAAGGAACTGGTCAGTGATGCACCTTCCTCTGCTCTCACATTGTAAGCAGCACCTTTAGGGCCAGGCACCAGGCCACAGGAAAATCCTGTGTGCCTTGGCCCAGGCTGCCCTCAGGGCCCGGGCATGGGATGCCACCCACTCTGCCCACCATGAGCCATGACCACGCTGTCAGAGGCTGTCCTCTCTGGTCAGCCCTGGGACCTACTTGAACTTAGTAAGGGAGTGACACATTCTAAGTCCCCAAAGCCAGGGCCGGGCAGGTGACCAGAGGCCCCCTGGCCTGTCCACGCTGCTCGCTCATCAGTGGCAGAGTAAGAAGGATCCACAGCTCAGCCCAGCTCTGATGGGAGGCTCCAGGCACAGGAGCTAGTGGTGGCAGGATGCCCTGATGGCTATGTGCCCACCACAGTGGCCAGGCATGGGCAGCGGTGAGCCACTGGAGCAGAGCTTGCTTGCCCTGGTGCCAGGCGGTGTCCTGCAAAACACAGCATGTGGCAGATTTGTCTGCCTCCTCCCTCTGCACCCACCTGGAGGACAGCAGGGCCCTCCGGGAGGTGAGGGTAGAGAACTGGGTGGGCAAGGAGGAAGAAGGCCTGGACACCTGCCCTGAGCCACACCCAGAGTCTGAGGGGAGGGGACCGTGACAGCCCCACAGTGGCCTGCTCCCCAGAACTCTGGAGAAAGCGGGGCCCGGCCTCCGAGAGGCCGCCACAGTGACATTCATCCCACAAGCATGGGCAGCCTCGCAGGTGTCTGCGGGGCTCCGAGGTGACCCTCAGGCCTGGTGCCTGCAGGGGACAGGCCCCAGGGTGCCTTATGGACACTGGATTTCCACACAGCTTTGCGCCCTAGGGCCCATGTGCGGCTCCTTAGGTGGCCTCGGGGGCCTTCACAGCTCCAAACCGAATCTTTGGGGGCCACCCCCCAGGTGTGGCTCAGGCTCAATGTTCCCACCCTTACACAGCTCAGGACTGGCATTGCAAAAAAATAAATCACAGAGAATCAGAACATAAAGATCATAACCAACCCCAACATCAAGGTGGACCCCACGTGGCCTGTTCCCTGCAGGTACCAGGCCTTAGGGCCCCTTCTTTCCTTTGTCTAGCATGCAGGTTCGTGGGACAGTTGAGGTCATACCTTGTGAGCTACTTGGAACATTACCTTTTGAAAGCCAGTTTTACTGTTGTAATGAGATTAGGGTTTTTCCATGTCGTTAAAAATGCCTCTGAAGCACAACTGTCAGCCGAGCTAGCTCCAGGGACCACGAGGGAAGCAGAACAGACGGGACTGTCTCTACAGGGCCCAGGATGCCTCCTGGAGCCCAGTCACCCTGGCCCCATGTGCAGCCCCTGCCGAGGCAGAGGGGATGAGCCAGTGCTCAGGAGGCTCGGGTCTCCATCCCCCGAGGGCAGGAGCACCAGCGCCTGTGCCACCTGCAGCATCTGCTGCCTCCCTCTTTCCTCAGCACCAAGCAACATCGCCTCTGGGGAAGTAAATGCCAAGCCCCACTGGCTCCTCCCCAGGAGGAGCTGAGGTCCTGCATGGGTGGCAGGCATGGGGCTGCGAGTGCACACGGTGAGGAGCGGGTCGGGCTGTGCCGTCCCCTGCCTGCCCCACACAGCCTCACGGGTGGGGGATCCACAGGTGCTGTCCCCTCTCCCCTGTCCTGCTTCTCTCCCCTGGACTGGGGAGGTTTACTGGGGGCCGGACCTCTGGCTGCACCCATGGGGTGGGAACGCCAGGGACCACCTGGTGGGACCAGCTGGGGGCCCCTTGCTTCGCCGCCACCTCTGGTCCTGTGGGACTGGAGACCAAGCCCAGTTCTCCTTCCCTTCCCACCGGGTGCCCAAGTCCTGAGTGGCCTGGGGTGGCTCCGGGGCTCCCTGTCTATGCTGCACACAAATCAGGCCCTAAATTAAAGTGCCACAGGGCCACGGGGCAGGCTCCAGTTTCCTGCCACAGAACATGAGCCCGCTTGATAAAGCAACTTTGGTTTTGATAAATGTGGATTTTCTGTGGCAGAGACAAAGGCGCCCTTGAGCCCAGAGGGACCTAAAACAGCACAGTGCTGAAAAGTATTTCCTGATCATATTTTTAGCACCTGAAAAAAAAACACATTTTTTTCTCCTTTTTGCCTGTGGAGTCGTGTTTTTTGGTTTTTTGTTTTTTTCTGTTAATGAAATGCAATGCCCAGCAGCAGTGGGGCCTGTGTTAACCCCAAGTCTCCCAGGCCTGGCTGGAAATCTGCACAGGCGAAGGCTGGTGGCGGTCAACACACAGGGCCCGGGTGGCTCTGAGCTGGGCCCTGCTTCCCGAGCCGCTGTTCCAGGGGTCACAAGCCAGCCAGGCGCCCACCTGGGCCAGCTGCTCGGCCATACATCTACTGAGCACTAGCACGTGCCTGCCGCTGAGCTGGGCCCCCAGGTAGACCCACACCAGCCCAGTGGGTTTCCCAGCACCCATCGAGGATGTCCCCAGGACAGGAGGCCGAGCAGGAATGCAGGGCGAGTGTGGCACTGCGCCCCTTGGTGCTGTGGGCAGGAAGAGCAGCCTCGTGTCCCGTGCTGTGGCCTTGTGGGAGCCCTGAGCTTCCACCCCGAAAAACCAACCACCAAGGGCAGGGCTTGCCAGCAGGCCCCAGCCCACTGCAGAGAGGGTGGAGGCTGCCAGGCAGCCACAGAAAAGCCTGTCCTAGGTCCTGGCACACGACAAGGCTTCCTGGCAACTCTGGCCTTGAGCCTCCAGTGTGGGGACCATGTCCTGACCCTGACCCTCTTGGCAGTGTGTGGGTTGCCACACCACAGCGGTGCTGTTGTCATGGGCTCTCAAAGTCAGGAGCCTGGCCTGGGGATGATTCTCCCACAGCCACTGTGGGCCAGGGCTGGCACCTCCCCAACCTCAGTTTACCCTTCCACAAAGCAGGGGGGATGGAGGCAGACAAGCCAGGCTCCAGGTGCAGGATCTCACTCTGAGGGTCATGCTGGTGCAGGGGGGGCCAGCCGAGAGCCTCCTCCAATCCTGTGCTCAGCTCTGATACCACAGCTGGGAGTCCGGGACCATGGGCCCATCCGGGAAGACCAGTGCGGTGCTCAGAGCCCTCCCCTGCCTCTTAGCAGTAAGGTCGAATGTTTCTTGCATGGGCACACTGGAGACATTTTAGGAAACCCTGTGGAGAAAAAGAAAAGTTAAATATGAAACTACCACCTTGGGGGCAGCTGCTGTCACTGCACAGCTTCTCCGCCCGCCTTTGGGGGTGCACTCTTGTCTTTGGGGCCCAAGTTTGGTACAACACTGGGATATGAGAGCAGACAGGATGTGGGCACTGAGGTGCAGTCCAAGGCCCAGGGACACAGGTGGACCAGGTGCCCCCAGAGAGGGACAGACCCAGGGTGATGCCCCGGGTGCCAGCTGGGGCGGCCGCAGGTGGGGACCCGGAGTCCACATCAGGAGCGCCTGGGGACCCCTCCCGCCAGGCAGGACTGCAGCATCTGTGGGCTCCAGGGCCTGAGTGACAGTCTCCCCAGGGGGTCTGCTGCACCCAGGGGCCTGGACAGGCATTTTCTCCTGCAGGCAGCAGGAGACCTCCCCTGAAATGCGTCTGCTGCGGCTGTGCCCGTGGAGACTGCTTGATGCCTTGAAGCCCCAGCTCCCCAGCAGTGAGGCATCTTAGGGACCCAGGTCTGCCTGGAACTGCGCTGCGGGGCGGGGAGCCTCCCCTAGGCCGACCCAGGGAACCTGGGCCCAGGGGAGCGCTCACTCCAGCGCCCAGGCAGGCCAAGGCCGGGGCGCCTGGAACTGGCTCTTTAAGGGCCGCTCATTTGCATGCCCCGCCCCCTCCCCGCCCCCCGCCGCGAGTGTATTTAAAGGCGCCCACCGGCGACCTCGCGTAGCCTGGACGGTGCGGCCACCTGCCCGCGGACTGCGGGGTGCCCGATCGAGATGCGGCGCGGCGCCGTCTGGGCGCTGCTGCTGGCCGCGGCGCTGGGGCTCGGGGCGCGCGGGGCGCACGGGTCGGTGGCGCTCGCCAACTTCTACCCCTTCGGCGCGGCGCGTGGCGACGCCGTGACCCCGAAGCAGGACGACGGTGGCTCTGGGCTGCGGCCGCTCTCCGTGCCCTTCCCGTTCTTCGGCGCCGAGCACTCCGGCCTCTACGTGAGTACCGCGTCGCGGGCAGGGTCGCCCGCCCCGACTCCCCACCGCGGCGTCTGGGCGCCCGGCGGTGCCGGGTTGAGTGAGGACAGCGCTCCCGCGCCAGGCGCACGGCGGCCGGCAGGGCAGAGGCGCGGCGGGCGGGGCGGCAGCGGCCGCACGGCCTCGGCTCTGGGGTCCCGAGTGGGCACCTGGCCTAGGAGAGTCTCGGCCCCTCCTCTGGCCGCTTCCGAGTCTCCAGGTGACACTGGAGGCCCGGGGCAGGAGGCTGCGACCCTGCTCCTGCGGGCACCCCTGTTTGGCAGAGCGGGGCTGGGCGGGGCTGGCGGCTCTGGCAGCGTGGAGGGGCTCTGCCCTGAGCCTTCTCCCTGCGCCCACCCGGGCTCAGACCTGCGCAGGACCCGTCTGGGGCCTGGGACATGCATGCAGGAACGGAAGGAAGCCGCCACCCTGGCCGCCCTGGGGGCGGAATGTGGCAAGGGGCCACTGTGGGTGCCTGAATCCTGCGGGTCGTGTGTGGAGACATGGGCAGCTGGCCTGCAGTCACCCCAACATGTTGCCCAGCCACGACCTGTGCCACGTGCAGCACCATCACCACCGCCGTTCTTGTCATTGGCTGTACCAGGTCCCATGGTTAGCGCGCGCTCCTGCGCACACACGCGCACACACACGCACACAGGCGCACGCGCACGCACACACACGCACGCGCCCGTCACCGTGAGCCCCCGCACCTTCACACCGCCGGGATGGTCTCCTCCGTGGGCACTGGCTTTCCATCCCCCGAACCCTCGCCCTCACCATCCCAGCCACAGCCTCTGCACTGTTGTCACTGTCCTGAGCGCCATGTCCACGGGCCTGTGCACTACCAACGCATCCTTCAACACCCCGCACCCCGCAGCACCAGCACATCCACAGCGCCCGCCACTGTGACCCCACCTGACCTCCCTGTGCCCACTCAGGTCAGGGCAGGCGGTGACGTGACTGCATGTGCGTGCGTGTGCGTGTAGATCCTTTCCTGAAAGTCCCTTTGGGTCAGGACTTGGCAGAGGGGCAGGGTGGACTCCTGAAGTGTGAAGTGGGCAGGCAGAGCCCGCTCGGGGTCTGTCCAGCCGGAAGAGGCAGAATGTCTTAGGAATGGGAGAGCCTGTGTTGGCACCACCCTCACAGATCTCTGTCCAAACGTTCCTTAGGCATTTGAGCCAGGCTCAACCTTACCACTCAAATCACAGGTGAAAATATTATTAAAACAGTTGATCCTCTGAACAGCCGCACCAAAAACAGCTACCCTTGCCAAAATCCTCCCTGGTGTCATTGTACACAGGGAGATGCTGTTCTGAATGGAAAGATCTACTCACAAAATAAATGGTTTCATCAGAAACGAGCCTCTGGCTGCTAGCAAAGCACCTGTCTCCATAAGAGCTTTTTCCTGAAACAGAGATAGTGTTAAGGAAACACTTGTCGATGTGGACACTATGTGGCACTCCACCTTTCCGTTTGCTTAGCAGGAAAGAAATGGGATTCTCTAGGGAGCCCTGCCCAGGGCACCTGGCGTCACGTAGCCAGGAGCACTCTGGCCAGGACAGAGGTGTGCAGGGTACAGAGGCAGAGCCTGACAGAGAGGAGGGAGGTGTTTCCTCTGGAGTAAAGGAGGCCGGACATCCCTGCCCTGTCCCGAAGTGCAGTGCCACATGGTCAGCAAGGTGCAGCATGGACAGCTCCAAGCCCAGCACCTGTGTCTGGTGAACCAGGGTCTCAGCTCTGGCCTCTCGTGCCTTCTGTCCCTAGCCTGTGGCTTGGCCTGAGCAGGCTTAGAACATGAGTGAGGGAATAAAAGAGAATGTCTTGTCCTTGTGCTGTCCACTGTCACACAGAAGCTAGATGTGCCCTGTGTGAGACCAGTGCCCCTTGGGCCATGGGGAGCAGCCCAGAGTGTGCCACTTTTCACACGGTGGACCTGTCTAGAAGGGACCCACCATGCTTTCTCGTGTCACAGTGGCTGTACTTGGCACGGTGTGAGGCTCTGAAATGGCCGAGAGCACATTTGATTACTACGGTTCTGAACCCCAGCAAGGGTAACGCTGCTGAGGCATGGGGTGCAGCCATCGCAGGAAAACTGGTTTTCTGGGCCCCAGAAGCCCCTGGGGCCTAGAGAGCACATCCTCTTGCTGGGGCAGGGAGGTAGGTGGCCCACTAGTTACCTGTCCAACCTGAGCCTCTAGAGTGGGCTCATACATTGTGACAACGCCTGACCACTGCATCTTAGAAACTCTTCACCTCCTGTCTTTTGGAAAGCTTTGGGGCCAATCCAAGAAATGAAGAGCCTTGAATGGGAGGCAGAAGGGTTTGGGGTCAGGGGCGGGCTGTGTCCCTGCAGAGCCCACAGGCAACTTGCCATCAACTGGGCCTCTTGGCCTTGAACGCTTGCTGGCCAGCAGTGCCCTCTGGGGCCCCCTGAGGCACAAACATGTCCCCCTGCCTGTCTGCTCAGCCTGGATCCACCTCCCAATCCTGAGAGCCAGGCCTGGCCCTGCCCTGCCCTCCGTGCTGTCATTGCTTACAGGCAGCTGGTGACCTCTGCTAGTCCTTCCACAAGCCTCAGTTTACCACCTCTCAGAGTGGGCAGTGCTTTCCTCTCCTGTGCCGCTACCAGAGCTGTGTACACTCAGGCCAGTTTGTCCTTGTGGCTCAGAGCAGACTTTCCACGGGACAGAGCTGATGGCCGCACAGTGGTGACGATGATGGCTGCACATACGTCACAGGCATGGGCATGGCGGGAGCTGGACTAGGGAAGGTGGGATCGGGCCGGAGTTGCAGATGCTGGCCCGGATGCTGGTGGTTGGCAGGCATCCTGCTGCACACAGCCCAGCCCACCCCCGTAGGACCTGTGGAAAGAGGGGCTCACTGGGAAGCCAGGTCAGGGGTGCAAGTGTGATGCGCGTGTGAAGACAGGTGAGCCTGCCTGGGGGCACACAGCACAGCAGCTGGTAAAGGTGACAGAGACCATCGACTTGCTGTTGGCACCACCGTCTGCCTCCTGAGGGCACTGGTCTCTGGTGAGCCCTTTCCCACTGCAGGAGCGGAATACGGGTGGCAGGTGGAGCCCCTCATCTGGACAGGGCCGGACTGCCCAGCATGCAGAAAGAGAGGCTGAGGTGTGAACAGAGGGGGAGACTCTAGACGGGGGTGGGCCTGGGGGGAGCAGGACCCCAAGAGAAGCGGTGTCTGGTTACGAGGGAAGCAGTGGGGTGGGCATGTTGGGTGCGAGCAACGTTGCTTTGCTTCGCTGCAGCCTGAGGGACCAACAGGGCTTCTTCTCCAACAGCACCGTCAGCGACGCCCCTCAGCACCTGACTGACTGGGCCTGGCTCTCTCTCTGGAGAGGGCAGGAGTGTGGCCTCAGTCTTCTCGAGCAGTCTGGAAATCACTTTAATTGGAGGGTTTAAACCATTGATCCTTCGTGTGTTCTTCGCATGGTGGAGGTTTAACCTGTTGTTTTCCTGTGTGTTACATCTGTTCTCTATATTCCTTCTCTCGGAGGTTTTTAAAAAGGATTTCGTGTTATCTCGATTGTTGGCTTATCAGTATCTATTTTCAATGATTGCTGTAGGGTTATCATATTGTCTATCTTTAAATATTCTGCCCCTTCAAATAAGAGCCCCAAAATAATATAAATCTATTACCCCCTTCTGGCCTTCATGTTGTTGTCATAAACGTTACATATATTACAAAACTGATAACACATTGTCACTTAAAGAGATTTAAAAACTAGAAAGCCTAGAGCCTGGTGTGAGGTGCAGCCTTCAATCCCAGCAACTGGGAGGTGAGGCAGGGGGATCAGAACAAGATTGAGGCCACCCTGGGCTCCATGGTGAGAGCCTGTCTCAAATAGTAAAACAGAGACGAGAGCAAAGCCTTTTAGGGTTAGCCACATATTCTCCTTTCCCAGTCTCTCTTAGTCCCCATAGGTCCACATTTCCATTTTACACCAGTCCGCTTTGCATGAAAGACTTCCTGTAGTGTTTCTCAGTTGTACAGACCTGCCAGGCTAAGTTACCTTATCTGAAAATTTCTTTATTTACCTTCAGTTTTGAAAGCTGCGTCTGCTGAATCAGCGTGGAATTCTAGGTTGGCTGTGTGGTTTGAGGAGTTTTGTTTTTTCTTTTGTAAACCTGCTACTCATGGTCCTTAGATCTGCTCCAGATGAGGTGTCTGTTGTTGTTCTTTGTTCATTCTGTGTAATGTGTCTTTTTTCCTCTTATCACTTTCAAAATTTATCACTGCATTTCAGCAATTTCATTTTTAGGTGCATTTTTAAAGATTCTTTTCCCTTCTCTTTGGGGCTTATTAAGACCTGTGATTTGTAGGTACTGTATATAGTTTTCATGAAATTTGGAAAAATTCTCAGCCATCTTCAAATATTTTTCTTCAGTTCTTTGTCCCTTTCATTTGAAGACTCAAATTATACGTGCATCAAACTGTGTATGGCTGTCCAGAACTCAGTGACACTTGCTTCTTTTCTCTCAGTTCTTTGTCCCTGGTCGATCATTTTGGTTATTTCTATAAATATGTCTTCAAGTTCACAAATTTTTTCTTCTGCAGTGTCTAACCTCCTGTTCATCTCATTTCACCATATTTTCATGTCAATTTTTTATAGAAGTCCTTTAGATCTTTTGTGCGTTTTTTGTTTCTCCCCTCCTTGTGTTGATGTTTTCTTTTATATTCGGAACATGTATTTGTTTGTTTTGTTTTGTTTGACAGGGTCTCACTATGTAGTCTAGGCTGGCCTTGAACTCACCATGTAGCCAGGCTGGCCTGGAACTTGTCCTGACCCTCCTGCCTCAGCCTCCTGAGTGCTGGGATTATAGACGTGTAGCACCATTCCCCACTCAGTTCTGAGCGTATTTTTAGTATTTATAATAGTTTATAATTGTTGCCTACACAATTGCAAGTAATTTTTAATACAATCTTTGTATACCTGCACAGTAAATTAAAAAGACTGGTAA